AAATAAAATATCTTTGCCAAACTCTTCTATGCTTCTAGCACATGCTTTTCACATGTCCCTTATCAGAAATCTTAGTTAATCTGTGTATCTCGGTTTCCCTTGTAGCATTTACCACTGCATGGTGGTTGTTTCCTGACTGTATCACTTTACAGGCAGAGCGGTTCCTTCAAGTTTTTTTTATTCCTAACACCTAGCATCTTATTTGACAAACTGAAGCCACTCAGTGTTTGTGGAATTGAATGACAATTGACTATCAAAAGTCGCAATTATTTGTGTATGTTTAAATAACCTAATTTGTATACAGTTTGTACACCTATGTTCTCACTGCAATGGCCCAGTGCCGGGACCACAGCTGGTACCTGATAAACACTAAATTGTGATTATGTAAAAGAATTTGCTTACATTAAATGGTTGACCATGCTGCGTCAAGGGACATGTAGTAAGAGGGCGCAAGGAGAAAGGCTTAATTTCTGGGGTGATATAGGGAAAGTGTGGAATACTAGGATGACAAAGGCCTGAAGTTACTCAACACCAGTGAAAAACAGCGAGGATCTATTTGTGCCTTGAGCACAAAGCACTCTGCCTTAAGTGCTTACAAATGTCTAGCTGAAAAGGCGTCACTTACTTCACCACCTCTCCTCCTTTTAAAAGCCTCAGGAATAATTCCTAGAGTAGAAATGAAGTTGGTAGTGACCTCTGAGGAAAAATAAGAATCCCCAAGAAAAATCACAGTAAACCTACCACAAGGGAGCTAAGCTATAACATCAATTTTGAGCGCTTTTCGCTGTTGCCTGGTTCAACTGCAGACCTTCGCTCCGATGGTCTCCGAAGGTATTTAACCCTTTCAGCTAAAACCAAGGAAAACTGGATCCCTTTCAGAATCAAAAAGGAGATGGCTCCGAAAGTGGGCTTCTTGTCGTCCACATGCGGCCACACAACCTTGCCCAGCCTGGCTTTCAGAGATTCAGAGTTCAGGGCATCAGGAACTTCACCGCTGCTATTGCGCAGGCTCTGCGTTCCACGCAGGCTTATTAGGAAGAAAGGGGGGGAAAAAATTGCCCGGAGACACGTGAACCCGAGGGCACCAACCCGGGCTTTGGCTCCCCACTGCTTGGGATTCTGGAATTTACAATCACGAAAGTTCTATTGTCTCGCTATTGGCTCCAGGGCCGCATGACATCATAGCGCTTGATTCAGCCTTCGGGCCCCGATTGGCTGGCCGCGCCATTGTGACGTCACGGTCAGCCCACGTTCTGATTGTAGATACCCGGCGCCTTCCTCTTCCCATCGCGGCGGTTCCTCGCTACCGGTGCCTCCCTCTAACATCCTCCTCGGCTCCGTTGGCCACGGGCGCTCCTGCAGCCGCCGCGCTGCTTCTCAAAGCTGCTGCTGCCCCTCGGACTACGAGGTAAGCCGTCAGCTCCTGGAAACTTCTGCCGGGGGCCGCCGCTCGGCCATGACACCCGCGCGAGCGCGCGGCCCGGACGCGAGGGCTGCGAACCGCGGTTAGGACCGGACCCAAGGCAGAGTTACGGCTGCCGGCGCGGCCCCGCGCTCGATCCGCGTGGAGGAGAAGCCCGGCGGCTCCGGCGGGCCCCAGCCCGGCTCCCCGGGCACCGACGGCGGGCGCGGGAGCGCGGTGCCCGCCGCCAGGGTGAGGCTGAGCGCCTCGGGAGTTCCCACCGTGCTGCAGTCTCACCTGTTCGGCGAGGGGAAGCATCCGGCGGGCATGTTTGCACGCTGACAGGCGCCGCGGGGACCCACGCTGTGCCCAGACCGCAGGCGGGAGGGATGGCTCTCAGAGCTCGAGTCCGCCCTCCCTGTCGGGATGAACTCGCGGATGGGAAGTCCAGGGAAGCGCCCTCCGGAAGAGCGAGTGCGCTCTCGGGGCAGAACGAAACCTCACTGAGTTCGGAGAACCTCTGTCGGGTCGCGGGTCGGTTCGGCACCGAGAGCCAGGGCGCGCCCTCCCTCGCCCGGCGCGGAGCTCGAGGAGCCGGCGGTGAGGGGACCCTCGGCCTTTCCTTTTTCCCCTTCCTCTCCTCGCGTCTGCCTGCCGGAGGGAAGCCCGCCAGGTCAGGGCCACTCGGGTTTTATTAAAACCAGAGAACAGCAGCCCGGCGGTACTCGGAGAGGGATGAGGCCGGCAGGGAAGCGGGGGGGGGGAGGGGACCCGAGGGCGACCTGGGCGGCCCTTTGGGGAGTCCCAGCGCGGGAGCGGCGGGCCGGGAGGGAGGCGCGCGGCGCGGGAGCGGCTCTGGGGCGGCGAAGCCCTAGGGTTGTGGCTGTTAAGACTTGTAAGGAAAAGTGCCCTTTTACAGTTTCCACGCTTGTAAGATTCCCTCCTCTCTGCCGCGTCTGTCCCCGCGTCCGGGTGTGGGGGCGGGGGGAGTCGTGCCTGGAGGAAGAGTTGTTCTTTTTAAACCGTCTCTTGCAACCGTTCCGTGCTCTTGCACTTTAAGGGTGATGGTTTCCCCTTCTCACGACTATAGTTAAGCTCATCTCCCCGTTTCTTGATTGCAAATTTGTAGAATGCATTATGCCAACTTTGGTGCTCCGGGAATACGATTCTTCCATACCTGGGGATCCGGTATGGAAGAATCCGGTGCCTGACTTATTAGCTGGGCTGGGGAACCGAGAGGTGCCAGCGGTGGGCGGGGGGATTGTGGCCAGGAAGCAACCTTAATTATCAAATAACGGACCCGTGGCAGGAAGTGCTTTTTAGGGTTGTACGGAAGAGCTAATGTTGCTTGTTAGATTTGGTAACTTGTTCACCTAACTGCTTGGTAGATAACCTGTTGGTTTGCACTTGTTTTGCTTGCACATCTCAGCCAACAGCATTTGGTGCAGAATCTGCAGATACCGACGTAGCCGGTTTTGCATTCGATGGCTGTGGACGAACACTAACTTTACATCTTCGGTTAGGACACGAGTGAATCACTTTTGTAGTCAGCTCAGATGCTGCCTGGGATTCTCCCGGAAAGCTCCGCACTTGAAGGAGAAATGTCGCTCATGGCCCTTTTAGGTTCTTACCCCAGATTATAACTTCTCATTGCCGGGAGCTTTTCTTGTACCGTTTCTCTTTTTGCATTTTCATTTCTCTTCCATTTCTAACTGAAGACAAAAAGGAAAATGTTATTGATGGCTACAGATGGCTAATTTTACAGAATATGGAACTTCGCTGAAAAGTGAAAGTAGAAAGCATATTAAAATGTGACAGATTTTTCAAGAAAAGTGCCTTATGACTTCAAATACTGTCCTCATTCCCTTAACCCAATTTTCTTATGTATAAATGGGTGTTTTCTGTTGCAGAATTTTTACAGATTTCAGGAGCTACAAATGAAAGCTCGGCTTGGGGTCCACCAAATAGTGGTTTAATAAATGCTTCCTTATTTTTTTCCTGGGGAAGGGGCAGTGAGATTTAGAGAATGTAGCCAAGAATAAATCTCAAGAATCTCAAGTAACTGGGAAAATATTCAAAACTTTAGGTTTTCACAGGTACAAATTCCGGTATCCCTATGAAGTCACTAGGATTTGTTCAGTGGGCTGTGTGCCATCTATGTAACTCTGTTACACTTTAACTTAAAAAATCTAACCTAGTCAACCTAACAGCTTGTCATCTTTCAGATCTACCTAAAATCTATTCCCTTCCCTTTTTTTCTAGATGCCTTTTTTATTCATTGACTTATCAGTTACGTGTACTTTGTGTATGTTAGGAGAGGTTATATACAAAGTTGAATGACACAGTTCTGACTCCAAACGTCTTCCTGAATTAGTTGATGTGTTAATCCTTTCATACCCATACTAAATCTATGCCTTGGACTAAAAAGGGGTCAAACACAGATTTCTGGAGGACTTTCGTGAGGATGTCTGGGAAAGCTTTATGTGGCAGAGCTATCTATGTTAGACATATCAGTGCTTACCACTGTAAGATTGGTTAGGATGCTTTCAGTACAGGAAACAGAAAACCTGACTCAAATGGGCTTAAATGACTACCTGACTTGAAAAGTCCTCAGGGCAAAACTTTCTATCCATAGTCCATAGGCTGGTTTTGCAAGATGACTGCCAGCAACGATCTGGACCCCCATTAACATACTCTCATGTAGGCACTTCACTTCCCACCACCTTTCAAAGAGGGTCCTTGGCTTTGAGGTGATTAACTTAAACCTGGTTACTTGAAGTAATAACTAAAACAATGGAAATCTGATAACCTGGGAGACCCATCCCAGAACTGAGGAAGTGGATTTAAATCTCACCTCACCTATTGGGCTGCTACCATACCTTCAGTGAGGGCCAATGTGAACATGGGGGAAGTCAGCCACATTGTGAACTGTAAGGGCCTCCAAGATGTCAGTACTAAAGAGATGATTGGATTAAAGTAGATAGAATTGAGTCTACATTTGAATGTAGCCTTAAATGTCATAGAGGAATCTTACTGATTTGAAGAGATAGGACAGGCATTCCAGGAAAGAAGGAGTTTGGAGAGCAAACATCTGTGGAATCACTGGGCAAAAAGCAAGTAGCCCAGTTGGCTGAAGCTGATAGTACAGAAGTGGAAGAAAAGGTTAGAAAGGCAAGTTGTTGATGATAATAATGGCTGTTTATTACCAAGCTCTTATTATGTGTCAAACCCAATTGCTATTCCAGTTGCTGTTAATTGGTACCGTGAGCCTTCCCCACTTTACAGATGAAGAATTGGAGGCTTAGCGAAGTTTAGACACTTGGCCAGGGTCACAGAACATTCGAGTCCAGGTCATCTTGAGCCCCTAGCCTGCCCTCTCTCCTGAGGTTACAGAGTAGCACTGAAGCTTTTGAACTAGGAGTACATTATGAATGCAGTGCTCCAGGAGTATGACTCTTACCAGAATGTGTAGGATGGATTGGCTTGGACAGATGCTAGGACTGTGGAGATGGTTTGGGAGGCTGTTAGAGGTGGCCAGGGCAGTGAGAATGCCCCAGGTGGCGCTACAGCCATGAGCACAGGCTGGAGAGAGCTAATTAATTGTATTAGATTATTTCTAGGATAAGATCTATGAGACCTGGAGACCAATGGATTTGAGGGCCAACAAGACGAAGAGCACTCATAAGACTGAGTGGTCAAAGAAACGTGGTGTTATAGAGGAAGAAAAAGGAAGCTTTGCAATCAGGTGGAATATGCAAACGGCCCAGATACATATCTGGAGAAGCTGCTGCGCGCGCGCGCGCGCGCGCGCGCGCACACACACACACATACGCACACACACCTCTGTTGGCCACTTTCTTTTTGTTGCCCTTCTACAACTATGTGTTTCCCCATTTTATCCATTTTCAGAGTTGTTCATATTTTAACATATCTTGGTAGAGATGCAGGTTATAATCCGTGACCTCTTAAAATCACTGCAGGCACTTCACATATTAATATTACTGAAATCAAGATGCTTCTCAACTTTTAATGAAGTATCATTGGTGAGAGTAGGAAAATCCAGTATTAATAAAGCTCATGCAGCTGGAGCCAGAAGTAAGAACCAAGGCTTCTGGGCTCTGTCCATCAGCTGACTTACCCAGCTTGCGTAACAGATAGGAAAATCAGTGATGCCTCATGATACAGGATTATAGTAAAGCACATACATAATTCTTTATTACAACTGAAGTAATTTGAGAAGATGGGAAGGCATAGTTGTTTAAGTAGGGGTTGTATAGAACCTGGCTGCCATGGCTTCCTATCCTAACTTGCCACCAACCAAGAGAAAATCAATTCTGGGTATTGGTCTTTTTTTCTTTAAAAGATTAAGGCGACTTCCAAGAACTAAAATTTTTTATTTTCACTTTTGCCAAAAGCAAATCCCTTGTTTCTGTTTGACTAGGGGTAGAGAGTGGAAGTTGAAAGCATTTAGGTCTTAGAAAAGCAATGTCAAAATCAGTGATGGAAGTTACAATTTTCTCTTTAAGGGGTTAAGTTTAACTGCTGGACGTGTTCTGGCCTAGCAAAGTAAATTGTTTAGGAAGGTAACCTGACCTAATTTTGAGTATTTGTAATAGAATCTCCCCCCCACTCACCCACACATATCCCCAATGATCCCCCTTTGAACCCATAAATGTTATCATTAGCAAACTGTTTGGTTCCCACTGGGCTCCTGCTGGCATATTTCCTCAATGGGAATTTTTTTTTTTTTTTGACTCGTGTGTATTTCCTTTTAGATTTGTGTGGTTCAGAAAGACTAAATTCCCACCCTTCCTCCTTCCCAGGCCCCTGCCATTTGTGTTTGAAGTACAGTGATGTGTAACCGTCTTTCTTAAATTAGACATTTGTACTTTTGTTTGATGTCTTTGCTGACAGGGATTTAGGAAATCATTTCTTTTTAAAAAATGTTTTTAGTGCTGGTACTGTCATGCTTTCTCTCGTTAGGAGAATAACCATTTTCTTGAAAC